CATATCCTAGGAATGGGCTTTTTGGACTTGAAGTTGGCACTGGCCACTGAATTATATTTGTTTGTTTGAAAGGAAGCCAAAGAAATTATCATTTAAAGAACTGCATTGCTCTGCTGCATGGCCTGTGCTGCCTTCAGAAGTAAGATTTCTCCTTGGGATGGGAGTCACACATCAATTCCCACTGCAAATCTTCCTTTTTGATAGAAAGACATTACTAAAACAGTCTTTTGGTTTTGTTTTACCCACTCTCTCACCTCCAAAATTGAACTTTTCCCCCTCCTTGTGCATCTCAGATGCAGCTTTATCTGTTTTGAAGCATGTGTGTGCACGTGTTCGTATCCACGTGCACATACAGCAACACGTAGGTGCATGTACACAAACCACATGCACGTGTTTTTGCAGCCAAAGTTGTGTTGTCCTTTTATCTTGCAGGTTATGACAAAGATAAACTGTGAACTTCATTCAATCTGTACAGAATTTACAGTTCAAATGTATAGCAATGAAGAATATATAGGAATACAGCAGCTGTTAAGTATTTATGGGCTGTGTGTGTTTGTTTTGTTCCGGTTATTTTTTTTTAATTAACATTACAAAGGCAATCTCTTATTTTAGCTTCCTGATAAAATCTGTTTAAAGAAGCATTCAAATGCAGTAAATTTCTTAACAGGGTGTTCATTTTCCTCTATTCCCAGTTATGTTGAGTCACATCACAAACCAGGCAGGTGACACTTTGGTGTCTGTTCAACGCACATACGCTGATTACATGTAGAGATACCTACCAGCATATGGCATGTAATGTGCAATCTGTGTGCAGCACACGTGGATAATGTGCCAAAGTGACACTAAGCAAGATAAATTTCATAAATACAACGTCTATATTGGAGAAACAGGAGTATAGTTTTAGTGTGTGGAGCATTGCTGCATAAGAACAGCGGCACCCACCTATACAAATTACTGATAAAAGAATGAAACATTTATAAGAATAATTTATTGAATCTCCTAAAGCATTTGATATACCACGCAGCAACTGCCACTATGCTTTACATGCTCTTGATTTAAAATAACAAAATCTCTGTCATTTATCAGCTATATCTGGTTTTGCCTCAGTGTTCCTGAAGGTCTCAGGTAGTCTACATTGTGCGTGAATTTTTTGAGAAAAAGTGAAAAAAATTCAAATTTTAGGGTTTGTTGGGGAGGGAAGAGTAGCCAACAAGGAAAGGTCTCCATTCTGCCTGCTGACAGAAGCATGGGATAACTTCAGCTCCAGGGAAGATGCTGGACCGGTGCGAATAACCAGGCAGGACTGAAAAGACCTGTCACCAGCCTCGATGACTTGTCCTCAGCAAGGCTGAGCATGGTGTTCACAGAGATGCTAAAGGACTGAGACCTCCATATCCACATCTGTGATAAACCCTTTTCATGAGCATCACTGCACATGGAAAACACTGGGTCATGGCCACTGTGCTGGTCAAGTTTAAGGGATCACCATGAAATGCTGCTTCTGCTTTAATGGGAAGTGCCCATGGCATATCAAAGTAAGGAGGCATTTTCCCATTGTGGCTTGCAAGGCTTGTGCTGACCTTTTCTTGTGTGGAGAGGGAAGAAGAGAACATCTCCCCAAGTCCAGAGTCATCAGTGCCAAATGGAGCTGAAATTCCAAGGCAGGTTTTGTTGGCAGCATGACATTCAGCCTTGTTCTGGGGTCAGAACCACATAAACTGGAGATTCTGACATGGCTTCTACCTGAAATCATTAGCCCTGCCCTAAAATTATCAGTGTAGCTGCAGGTGAAATCCAGCCTGAGCTTGGCACTGAGTTTTGGAAAGCTCTGCAGTGAGCTCAAGTTTCTCAGCATTAGGCAAACAGATGCTGCTCGAGAAATTAATCTGCAGCTGTATTTACAGGAATTGGGAGAGGGCAAGATGCTTGCAGGTTCACTGGCAGCTTTGGAAACAGCACAGCTTGCACCAGCTGCTTTCCAGTTCTCCCCATTATCAAGCCTGCCATGCACAGCCACACGTATGGGTCGCTAAAGGGGATGGGGGTCTTGAAAACAGCTCCTGCTTCAGGAAGCAAAAGCATCCACAGTGGTAGAGCCTGTGAGCTCTTCTCTGAGATGTTCAGCTGGACAAGAAAACCTGAACTGAACCCTCATCCTTGTTTCACTGCAGTCAGCAAAAGCCATGGGGACAAACCCTCACAGGGCACTGCACAGAGGGACAACACAGACTCCATCGCTGGGTGGAAAGGCTCCAGCAGAACAAACCAGGGATGTGTTGAGGCCATGGTGGCTCAATAAGGAAGCAAATAAAATGCCAATAAAAAGCAAAACTGTCATGCTAACCAAATATGAAGGCTCTCTGGTGCATCTAGTGATGTCAGGCCAACAGCAAGTCCCAATGCAGAGTTCTGGCATTACAGCTTCACTGGTAAATAGTATGGATAAGGAAGGTGAGGATATAGGACCAGGGTCAAACTAGATCATGGCAGCAGTGCCAAGAGATACAAGAGACTGCAAACATGAGCAAGATGGGCAAACACTGAAGGCCTCATGACAGTCTGGTATTAAAGAGGGGAAAACAGTGGCAAAACATTTATGGACATAAAAAGGTAGCTCAGTGCCACTCCGTGAGGAGAGTAAGAGATGCTTCCATGAGGAATGGCTATGGCACAGCTGCAGGGTCCCCAAGACCACCAAGGGCTGTAGACAAGGGCGAATGAAGCTTTCAAAGAGGGATTTCCAAAGTTTTGGAGTGACAGCCCCCCTGCCCCTCAGGCTGTGCTGCAGGCACAAACGCACATGCACCCCAAAGCAGGGTGCAGGTGAGAGTGTCCTATGGAAATTAAAACAGACATATGGCAAGTCCCACACATGTGGGTTCAATTGGCATCTCTGAAATTAAGACCAGTCCTCCATCCTTGGCACTGCCTGCTCCTCTGGACCCTCAGAAAGGGGTATCTGGGATGCTCTTTTTCAGAGGCATCTGGATGGAAAGGAGGTTGTTACACACGGCCAACACAATTCATTTTTTCCTCCCCATGTGTACATTTGAAGGAACCACAGGTACAAACATGGTTTTTTTACCCCGTAGTTACAAGCAGAGGTGGAGTCTGTGCATGCTGTATCAGAGGGATGGGGCAGTGACTGGTTGCAGCATGACAAACACTTGGTATATCAGTGTTACCTACAGAAGCACCGCAGCACCGTACGAGATGGTCACTGTGGGGACAGGCTCTCCCCAAAATGATGCTTTTGGCAACGTTACCTTGTCAGGTACTACAGCAATCTGGGAGTGCAGATACAGCTGGAGCATACTGCTGTCTACTCATCTCAGGCTGCATGCAGTAGCAGGCAAAATTGAGAGTACAGTCAGTGAGATAGTCCAGAAAGCACATTCATAGGTTAAAAAGGACCCCGCTGCTACCTAAATTAGAAGCGTGATTAATAGTGTATCAAAAGGTGTGTAATCCCTCTCCCTCTAGACACTAATATAAGGCAAGCAGTATTGTGTCACTGGGGCATCAAACACTAAGATATACTAAAGAAGATTCCTATGCAGTATTATTATCCTTATTATTAAAAACCCACCCTATTGTTATTGTTAAAAAAAACCAATGAGCCCACACCCCTGCTCGAAGCAGATTTTGCTCTGTGAGGCAGAAAAGTCGGGTTGTTTGTGTGCTAAAAGCAAGAGTTTGCTTTTACACCTCCGAGCAGCAGTGACCTCGCGGGGCTCGGAGGGGCTGCTGCCCTCAGCCCTCCACCACGGCCCTCTGCAGCCTCAATGTTACCTGCAGGTGAAGGAGCTTTTGTATCTGATTTCCTTGTTTCTGGTTCAGGAAAAGGATGCTGATGAAAACAGAAGGTGCCGACCTGTGATGCAGAGAGGGGATGGGAGAGGATGCAGGAGCACAGCTACGGTCAGAGGGCTGTGCTGGGAAGGAAAGGTTGGAGGCTCAGGGCTTCACTCTCAGCCTGAGGGTTCATATGAGGGAGAAACAGAAATCCTTATCCTGCTCCTGGGCTTTTTAACATTTCCCAAAAAAATACTCACTGCTAAGGGTCTTCATATGGGACAACATTTGGGTAAAGTCCTTAGGAATTTCAATTTCTTTTTTAATTTTTACATTTTAGTTTTAGCAATAATGTTGCTGTGACCAAAGTAGTCTGAGGATATCAGGGAAATGAGGTTTCCAGTAATTCTCTCTAGGAAAAAGTATGAGTGAAGGTGTTCTTCTTTTCTCTTGGGTAACTGGCTGGAAGGGGAGCATTTGTATCTGAGGTGATGCTCTGGCTTCTCAGGTAGATAATATAAACTTGTTCTAAAAATTCACATAATTTAAAATTTTAAAAATCAATTAAAAATGTAAAAATATACCTATTTATCTGTAAATAGTAATGACCCTGCAGAATTTATTTGGATCTATTAAGTAGCATTTGAAATAAAACACATCTTTAGAAAATCTGATCTATCACATAGTCTGCCTAAAGAAATATAATGGCTTTCTGAGTTGGACAAAAGGTTTGTTTTCGGTGAGCTCCTTGACATTTTTAGCTTTAAAAAGTATTATTAAGAAAATGATTCAACAAGGAAATTCACATACAAAATCTGCACTTGAGTAACATTAAAGTCCCTTCCCAAATATTGGGAAATCTGACTTATGGCTAGTGCTCTGTTCCTGTGTTTGGGGTCACATTATGAAAGGCCACCTTGCAACATCTCCAGACACGTTGCCTGGTCAGAGACATGAACTCCTCAGACCACCTGAACTCACACTTGTACCTGAGGCACCCAAAAACTGACTGTGGGTTCAGGTCCCAGTCCCAGACATTGCTCCATCCCACAGGGAGTCAACTGCAGTATTTCTCCCTAGACCTAGAACCAGATTCTGAAAAAAAAAAAAAAAGCCCACTCAAAACCTTCTTGGAGACCAGATCCCAGGCTCTGATCCAAGGTCATGGCTTCACATTCAGCACAGACATATCTGGAAACCAGGTTCTGGGCACAGAATCACACAGGGACATGGGCATCCCTGGAGCAGTTCAAGATGGATGGCCTGCTGGAAATTTGGCTTTCACTTCTTCTTCAGCTCTCTTTGGACTCCTCTGTCCACACTTGGCATTGCCTAAAACTTGTTTCTGTCCTTCAAAAAACATGCAACAAGACTTGGGAGGGAGAGGGGAGCAAAGACCACCCCAAGAGAGGCTCAGCAGTGGGACAAAGTTTGCTTGTCCATCCTCTTAAAGCCTGCTGGGACCTTTAAAATTGGGATTGCTTTATTAGCAAAACTGATTTCGTTTCTTTTAATCTAGTATTTAAGATTTCTTGTGGGAGATTATCACCAGGAGTGAGTGATACAGGCATGGGGGAGCTCAATGGCTGAAGGTGAAGACTTTGCAGGGAGTAGTGGACTACAATTTAGGGCAGGAATTAAATTATTTATGTCAGTAAGCAACAAGCAGGCAATGTCATTGTTTCTGCAGGCTTAAATCATTTCAGGGAAAAAAGGAGCATTATTTGCAGCTAATTCTGGTATAAGTTAACCCCCAAATCCAGGTCTGGGTGAATGAGAAGTGATTATTTATGGCATGCTTGTGGATGGAGGTGTGTGTCAGAATTTCTTTGATATGAAGCCACAGAAAAAGGTGGAATAAATCTTACACGTTTCAAAAAAAATTCTGTGTGAAATATGTTGCAGCCAGATATGATCTGTGTTGCATATGTATAAAACCAGTTTTCTGCAATTAGTGATTATGGAACAAATCCAACAACTTTTAAAGATACACGTTAAAAGATGTGTTTTATAGACTCCAGTAAGCTGAAGAAGGTAAACTCAATTCTTCCCATGCAGGCCCTGAAGATCAGCTTTAAAGTCCCTTCCAACCAAACTATTCTATGGCTCTATGAATCTATGATTCTGTGACTATGAAAAAAGACCAGTTGTGTACCTGTGCTGCAACAGGACTGCATGACATCATCCTCAGCCTCATCTGGCATTCTTGCCTTTATATCATACCCTTCTGTGACAAATTTCCAGCAGGCCTTGAAAGGTAATTGCAAACAAATAAGACAATAAATCTTTGTTATCTCTGACTTGGACAAAATTTGCAGTGAGCAGCTGGCTGGAGCAATGTTGATTTTTGCCTCACCTAATGCAATTTCTATTCTTGTGGGCAGTAGAAAACACAGGCCACCAAGTCTGATTTAGGACCTGCTGACACTTCTTGCTCTACCAGAAGGCATCTCATTTTGGAACATGCCACAGGCAAATCTGCACAATTTACAGGCATTTGGCATTTCAAGTTGCCTGCGTGTGGAAGTCAAGGGCATCACTGCTTTCACTCTGCACAAAGAAATCTGGAGCCAAAAAGAGTTCTGGAGCACAAACAGAGAGGGAAAAATTGCAGAAGTTAACCAAAATATGGCTCAAATGGTAAAGAAAGGAAGTAGCACGGCTGGAAGCCCAGGGTCCCCCTAAGAAAAATGTTTTCCCCTCCTGAATGGTGAAAAATGGCAGGAAAAATTGCTCAGAGCCTTTATTCCCCTTCCTCAGTTCACGTGAAGACCTGTGTGTTGGTCCTGGGCACTAGCAAAAGAACAGTTTTATTTCCTGTCTGCAAGCATTCAGACTGCACCCACATCTTCCCTAAGGCTGAAATCATCCTGGGTCTCTCCTGGTTACTGTGCCTGGCCGAGCAAACAGGTGGAGAGAAACAGGCTGTGAGTCTCCCTTCGACCCGAGCAAGCCGATGTTCAACCTCTGAAAGGCCACACAGAAATGAAATTCTCACCTAAATGTCCTTAACAGGCTCTTGATATGACACAGGGAAAATGTGGCAAGACAGGGTTTGAAATCACAGACACAGCCCCAGCAGGAAACACGTGTGGGATTTGGGCTGTGAAAGCACAGGAGGGTTCAGAGGCACAATGCCAGCCATGGTGTCCCAGCCCTGGAGATGGATCCCAAACACAGCCTCTCCTGATCCACCTCCTTCCAGAATAACCCCACCAATCTATCCATGTAAAGGATCACTTCGTGACTTTGTTTTGGTCCCAAAAGAAACTTTGAGCATCACTTTTCCCCTCACCTTCCCCCAGCTGAACCTCAGCACCACTGAGGTTCCTGGTAATGACACAACAATCTTTCCAAAAGGAAGTACTTGAACAACAATGAAACGGGGCAGACTTGGATTGGCACAACTTGCAGCCAAGCATGGGTAAGAGGCTTCTGAGACAAAGAAGAAAACCTCTTAACTCAGCTTGAGGGATCCAAACAAACCAAAGGATGTCCCAAGAACATGGGTGTGAGTTTTCTGGCAGGGCAGAAGAAGAAAGGGAAGATTTTCACGGGCATAGTGTGTGCAAAAGTGTTCAGGCACGATGCAAACTGTAAGAAAAGTGCCCATTCAGACCAACAGGGCTTCCACAGGATGGAGCTCAGCAGCTCGCAGCAGCACGGGGACCACAGAATCCTGCATATCCACCCTCCCCCTCTGGCCTGGTGGCTGTGCCTCCACAATGGCCATGAGAATGGCTTCACACCATGGCAGCCTTCCAGAGGGGTTGCCTTTGGTTTGTCTTTGCTTTCAAAGCACCCCCAGGTCCCTTGTCAGCAGGAGGAGAGATAATTAAATATAATACATGGTTTAAAATAGAAAATTCCAGCCCTGTAGTCTCTTGTCCTCCTTCTGTCTCTTTTCTCTGCCCCCTGTCCCTCTTCTTGCACTCAAGATCATAGTTCTGAGTTTTTCAGTTTCCTAAGATGGGATAGTTTCCAAACTGTTCTGGTCCAGAGCAGTATCCTAACCTATCCCACTCCAAGGCCATGTCTTTTGCTCATGCAGATATCCTGGCCACCATCCCTCTCCTCCAGGGGCTCTATGCAACATTTCCATATATTATATTGGAATTATGCCACCTTCCTGACAGCTAATGAGGAACCACAGAGTACCAACCCCCTGTAATTACACGTGATCTGAAATCTAAGTCGGAAATAATGTGTTCATTCCAAACACCAAAACACCTAAAGGTGTAATCACGGGTGCCATGACGTAGCAACTCCCACCTAACACTTGTCAGCCACCAGTTCCTGTGATCTACAGAAGCCCTGGCTGGGTGATTTATTCCTGCCCTGCGCTTCTGAAGATTCCCAAGAAATGCAAATTGCCTACCCTGCGCCATGAAATAATTTCACCTAATGATCTTAGAAAGAGAGTATGAAAGAAATCTGGACTTCACGGCTCCAGCTGGCCCACCACCGTGACCTCTTCCACAACCACAGGCTTGGACCTGCTCGTTCCCCCACCCAGAGTAAGCTGCAAGAAAGTATCTGCCAGCTAAGGATGTCCTAGGAGGAGGAAAACCTTAGCTGTCGATCTCCTTGAGAAGTTCAGCATGTGGACAGCTGGAGCGGGCAGCTGCCAGCGCTTGGACGTGGCTCAGCGGCTGCAGGAAGGCTTCACTGCCGGGGGGCTGACCAGCCCATGTCACTGAAGGGTCCCTCGCCCGTGGCCGACCTGGGAGGGGGACCACAGGGCGTGCAGAGGTCAGAATCGGTGTCTGACTCCCCTTCTGCAATGTAGGGTCTGATTTTGGCCACGGCTGCATAGCAACCGTTGTTAAGGATGTCCAAATTCTCTTTGGACTGGGAGATGCTAAAGCCGCTGAAAGAGCGCTCCAGTTCCTCGTGGTCTACCGAGGGGATGGAGATGGACGTGTCGCTGTCTCTCATGGCACTCTCGTGGTGTTTGGTTGTAATGTCTTCATTCCTCAGGTACTCTGCGCTCGCCCTGTGCCCGCCGCTGTACAGGGAGCGCTCGTGGGAGGGCGGAGGTGGGATTCGGACCAGCGAGCTGGGGTCTCCGACGGGAGAGGAGCCGTGGCTTTGCCGCTGGCACGACGTGGAGGGCGGGCATGCGTTGGTTGGGGCTGGTGGGGCGGAGAAGTTCTTCTGACCCATGGAGCTGGTGGACCTGATGATCTTGATGATGCAGCCGTTCTTGTCAATGTGCTCCCTGCTGTCTTCGGGGCTGTGGTAGGGAGGTGCCGGGTCTGGTTCTTTGGACCCAAAATAAGCCTCCGTCTCTGTTGGTGGGATGCCCATCCGCTGCATGTAAATGTTCACCAGGAAGTCCAGCTTCTTCTCCATTGACTGAACCTGCAAAACACCACAGTTCCAGTGCCACGTGCAGGCTGAAGCACATTAACATCTGGAGTATAAGCAACTTCCATCGAGGAGCAAGAGTGGGGCTGGGCTTCGTAGATGACCTCTGCCTATGCTGACCCACACCACCTCAAACCCTTAGTAAACATTTAATTGTCCTGTTTTCCAGGTTTAATTCTCCACCTTGTTACAGGGTTTTCCTTGTTACAGTGTTTTCCTTATGCTGCTGTAATCTTTCTGACAGGCACCAAATTCTAGAAAAGCTGAAGCACACCTGCATCCTTCCAGCTCCTTCCTGCACTTGGCACTTGTCTGGGCTCAAATGGCTAGGGGGATTTCTGAGCCTTATCTTCCAAAAAGATTTTATATCTTCAGCAAGGCCATCAGCTAGAGCAGCCAGGCTCAGGGACTCATTTGTAATGTGTCTAGTGTGGTGGCAAAGAAATTAATGTGCTGTTTTCAGAAATAATGTAAACTTTTGACAAACTCACTAAAAAAAGGAAGACTATATGTCAGACTCCAAAGTGCCTGTTTGAGAGTGGCATTTAGGCTTCTAAGACATTTAGGGACCTTTCATAACATCCACCTTCCTTCTTTTTCAAAATAATCTTGGCTCTTATTTTTTTTTTTTTTTTACTAAATGGTAACACCTCGCTTGGAAAAAAAGGCAAGAGAAAACCAGCGCAATGCATGCAACGCTCTCTGACAAGAACCCCCTCCTGACCCAATATACCTGCTTTTCAACTTTTCCAAGCCTGCCCATCATGCTGGGGTCTTCAGGCAGCTCCCCCTCTGCTGGCCCTTTGGTCCGATCCTTGTCAGTCATGGAGGATCCTCTCCCAACGATCTGGTCAACTCTACCGGGATCAGAAAATCCCCCCACCCCCGGAAAAGGACCTGGAGTCAGTTGGAGGCAGCAGGTGAGGAGGGCTCTGCTTGTCGCGCCTCCGTGGGACAAAGCAACAGCCTCTCGCCCAACTAACACTCCAAATTACTCACAGACACACAGTGGCACTGAAGTGTTAATTCAGATGCAAAATTCAGAGCAGTATTAGCAGAGTTTGAAATTATCCATTTCTGTTTATACAGATAAAACCCGGCACATTATGCACAGTAAATTTACCCACTGCAAAGAATTTCTTTAACTGGCTTTCTTCCAAATCAATTAACTCCTTATTTGCGCTGAGAAATTATTATTTTGGGGGGAGATCAAGTTTTCTATCTAGCATGTACCAATGGGATTTTTTCAGTCTCTGCAGCAGTTTCCTCTCCTCAATGCAAATGCACGTGTGTAATTCTCACGTCCATGAAAACGAGCTGCTTGTCCTAAGATCCAGACAAACAGGTGCAGTGCTGTTTTAGTGGAATTACATCAAGGCCATAATTCACCAGACACTAACAGATTGTTTTCATCTCAAAGATACTGCAGTTCACACCTGTATCAGATGTTTTCTATTAGCAGAGCTCCAAGCTGGGAACAGCAGAGGATACTCCTGCCAAATCAGCAGATACAGGTACTAACTTCTTTACACACGTTACATTTGCACCTTCTCATTCCCAGTATAGATACACCTGGGATGATATACAGCTCCATAAGTATAGGAAGAAGGGAGGGAAGAGCCAGTCTGGAAGCTGGAACTCGATTTTATTTGAGGCATCAAATATAAATTTTCTTGAGAAGTAAACACAGAAGCTTTTTGATCCCTCAAAAGTCAGGGGAGCCTCTCAGTTTTGCAACAGCTTCTTAATGGCAGGCCGGTTTACAGCCTAATTCTATGCCAGGCAAACTTTACTCTTGCATAATGCACCAAAAGTAAGGGTGGCAGGGGAAAAGAAGGGTTAATTAATCTGACTGAAACCAAGTTGAGGTATCTTGAGCGAAAACTCAAAATGCTTCTTACGCAGTTCTGCCGTGTGGGCCATGGGTCCATGCACCAGGAGGAGGAAAAGGAAGGAGCTGAACACAGACAGACAGGGGAAAATGAACAAACAAAAACCAAGGAAAGGAATGAGACGTGAGGCTATTTCCAACACAAGAGCCATCTGTTTTCTTTACATTTGACAGGGACTTCATACGTATGTTGGCTGTTTGACATTAAGGGACAGGTATCAGTGGGTATGGACCAGCGTGGCTCCCTTAGCTTATATTAGAGCAACAGCAGTTTACAGCACCAGCTCTGGCTCAAAGAGATGAAGTGGATGAGCACATCACATCAAAGACAGAAAATATAAGCCAACAATTATTTCAGAGTTTAGCTTTGATCCCAGAAGATACTTTATTTGGGCAGGGATGTGACAGAATACTGTTCTGCTTAGAAAGCCATGTTTGACCCTTTGCTTAGCAATATAAGCACAGGAGTACAAGGAGCACACCAAGTGCTATAATTACAAGTGTGAGGAATATGCATGCCTTATTTCTCTCTTGTAATGGGAGAAGGAAATTATTAACAGGTACAGGAACTCCCCACAAGGGATGCAACTACTGACATGACATACAGCACAAGAAATCCTATGACAATGCCGTTACCATGTAAGCAAAGAGCTGTTAAATTGGATACCTCGGGCTACCTTGGTTTGGAATCACAAGTCAAGGCGTAGTACAGCCACTGTACGAACTCCTCTCCTGTATGCACAAGCAAGTAGACTTGTAAAACAATGAACATGCATTTAAAGAGGCCCAAAGTCTAAATGCCACTGAATGCTGCAGAAGGCCTAGAACAAACGGGGTGCTCTGTCCTCCTGGCCCATCCAGCACAGCACTGACACTGATATATGTCCACTAATGGAAATGAGATGTGCCTCGACAGTTGCTGAGTAGAGCAGGGAGGCAGGACAGACTGTAACACAGAGAGGGAAAATGAGTGTTGCATTGTAATAACAGAGATAGTCTCGTGCAACCCTAATTCTAATCTTGCAGAAAATGAGGCAGAACTTCTGCTCTCTTTCGTGTCTTGAGAGAAGAGGTATCTGGTAAGTGAACCTCATACAGCCCATTTCAGGGGCCAGCTGGCACTTCACAGATGGAATGATCACTAGCATCATCTAGAACAGCACTGACTTGTCCATCCCCTTCAGGCTGGACACAACTTGCCTCTAGACCTGCTGTGATTTAGGGGCAGGACTGAAGTCCTTCACAGAGCTCACCCATAAAGCATTGAGAAGCCTTTTCCCATAAACTATTGACACCAGAGCCCAGAATTCCTGCTGGATTCATTCCCTTTGTGTCTATATTTGAACACAGCCCTGAGGAACCAGAGGGCCAGATCTGGCCTTGGAGGCAGGTCAGCACCAAGGATGGTGTGAAGGGCAGCTGTGGGACACTGACTTCAGCGCAGAGAGGGGAGAAGAAGGTGAACCAAGTCCTTCTCTCTTGATGGGAGAAACCAGGCTCGAGGTCTCCCACCCCTTTGCTTCCCATGGCTGAAGCTGGACCACAGGAGAGTGCTCCAACCCTCAGCAAAGCGCAGAGATTTCATTTGTGCCTTATCTGATGTAAGAGAAAAGAAGAAATTCCTTGTGAGATCTCAACCCACCTGTACCTAGCTGAGGACTGCCAAGAGCAGGAGGTCCTTTTAGCCATTATAAGATTTTGAGATTTTTTCCAAATTGGGCCACAATTGAAAGATGAAGAAGACAGAATATTTTCTATTTCTATGTCTATTTTGCAAGCAGAGGGGGATACTTTATGTTCTTACTGCATGACAAAGGGCCAAGAATCTTCTGACATGGCCATGCCACTTCTACACTACACCCTGTGGGCATCCTTGTGTCCTCTCAACACTTGCTTTGGCTGTGCCAAATACACACGTGCAGAGGGAAGAATTCAGCTGAAGCTCTGACCAGTCAGCCCCATGTTTCTCCCTTCCTAGCAGAAGAAGATTCAAAGATTTCTAAGGATGCATGACAAACTGTGCCATCTGCTGTTCTTGGTAGGCTCTGCTGGGTCTTAGTTTGGGAGGGAGAGAGACAAGGGGATTGCTCTTTAAAGTGAACTTTGTTATCTTCCCGTCTTTCTAATGATACAAAAAAAATGTAAAGTCTTGCATCAGCCACAGTGCAGGTTTTCTCATGCTTCATTATGCTTCATGCTAACAGTGCATGCAAAGAGGTGTAATATGTCACCCTCGGGCCAGAAGCAGACATCAAAAAGGTCAAATGGCTCAAATGAGATAAAAATGAAGTGTTTGGGAATATCTATTCAAGTCTTTTCTTTTTTTCTTTATCTCTTATGAATTTTTGTAAACAATCCAGGCATTGAAGCCAAACCCCCTTCATCCATGTCACAGGACTGGCTACTTACCCTTTCATTTGGCAACAAAGTTTGCTCTAAACAAATTTTGATCAATAACTGTTGTCTAAAAAATAACAGCTGAGATTGCACTTATTCTAAGTGGATTTGGGCTTGGGGCTGCTCAGAGCTCTGGTTCCCATCCATCAGGCACCCTAAGCACCTCACAAGTCCCACTGGTGCCTGTGGGAGGATGTAGCTGCCAAAACTTAAGCACAGCATAAGCCTTCAGCAAAGACTTCAGCAGCCTTCTGGACTCTGCTGTTTTCTGCAGCCACAGCTGAATAAAGGAGGAAAGAAAAAAAATTCACTGGAAAAGGGAGCAATTATTAAAATAAAAATCTAAATGTCCCAGGAGCATAGTGGGCATGTGTGAACAGATTTTTAATCAGTATTAGAAACTCCAAAAACAGGGGGAGAGAAAGTCATTAACATGAAGCTGATACAGCAACAGACTTGGATTGAATAAAATAAATATCCCAGTTTGAGGCCTCCTCCCCTCGAATCCAGAAATCAACTTTTCTCTGTGCAAGGCACAAGCTTTCACATGAAAATCTTGCCTCTAGTAAGGTTTGTTGCACGTATAATCTTACAGGTTAAATACAACAAAATCCACTTGAATATGTATTTTTATTTTAAAATCTAAATGTTTCTGCAGATAAGAAGGTTATTTCATTTTCAAATACTATTTTGGGGCCTCATCATTTGGCAGGGAGGAGAAATGGGAAAAAATGCTTTTCTATCTTTTTTTCAAGCATAAAGCTTGGGGCTTCTGGAAAATTCTCTTTTTTAAATGTTTGAGCTAGCTGAGTGGGTAAGGGTAAGCTTTCAATATTCCTTTTACTCACATTTCTCCAGTGAAGATTACTCAGAGCAGCTTAAATAAAAATCAAGAGATTTGTCACATATTAGCGCTTAGGGAGGTAAATATATTTAGAAAAAAAAATATTTGAGGCTAAGCTTTCTGCATTTAAGAATCATCTACTGTTTCTGCATGGAAAATGACTTTCTGGCAAATATTTATACCTCCCTTGTGCTCCAGTGGTATCAATGCAAGGTGAAAATACAGCCCAGTCATGGCCTTGCTGCCCAGAACTCGGAATGCCCTAAAATGGGTATTTTGGTGAGAGTATGTTCCTCATGGCTTGAGCTTCAGGTATGGTTTTACTTAAGGAGAGAACTTAATGAGAAATATTTCACTGTGGGCTGGGTTTGACTCCTGCTCTTTTTCCTTGGAAAATCAGGATTTATTTATTTTTTCAATGTAAGTCCTATGGTAGTAATATTTTAACATATTTTTTTCCTCCATGGTCAGTAGAGTGGCATCAGCAAGAAACAGAGATCACTGTGTTCATCAGCTACAAAACACTTCATTCTTACTTTGTGGGTAAATATTCCACCTTTTACCCCTGAAGACAGCCTGATAAAATATGAGATTTTAGAAAGATATAATTTAGCCTTCTAGCACCTAGAAGAAGACTGACAATAGAAAGCACACTCTCTGAAGGAACTGATGGTTATTGATGACTGTATGGATGTCCCTTTTTTGTCTTCCTTTGGCTGGCCTGGTTTGAAAGCTCATCACTGAAAGCAAATCAGAGCACACCCAGAGTAGCAAGCCCTTTGTGTCATGATTTCACAGGCTGCTTTGCTAAGTGATAGATGCCGTCATATAACTGGCATGAAAGGGGTTTGACCTTAAGCAAATGAAAAAACCCAGAGAAAGCGGCATTTTGGTGAATCCTAACCTAGGCGAGTATTGGGGAGATTCTTTGGAAGAATACATGGGTCCTTTGGTTGGATACTTCTTATGCCGGGGAGTTGAAGGGGGTGGGGGACCCACAATCATATCTATCCTGGCAAAGTAAATAAGAGAAAAGACACCAGCAAAATGCATAATGAAGCAACACGTAGAGAAAAGTTGGTCAGAAAAGTTGCAGAAGGAAACAACTGAAAAACAGAACGACAGAGAGAGACAGAAAGAGAGAGAATTTGAAAATATATTCCGCTGGAAACAGAAGGCTCTCTCCTACCACCTGGTTGTTGGTGTCTTACCCACCTCAGGGTAAGATTTGGAGATTTAGGCACCACGGCAACACCATTAGGAGTTCCCCCCGCCCCAGATACAACAGACAACATGCTTTACCCTCTGGAATATATTTGCATATGTGTAGCAATATCCCACTGAGGTGCTTGGATATGAAACAACATATATTCATTCTCCTTTCAGTTCCAGGGCTAGGGAACACATCCTCAGCTAGCTCAGGGAAGCATGAGCTGTTGGGAGTCGGCGAGGTACGCTGCGGGATTGTGTAACTCAATGAATGGGAGACATCCATGGCTGGCGAGGTGTCAGGATGGAACACGAGACAATGTGAACATAACACTGAAAAGAGCACATTGCAGACACAGTGACAGAGGCTTTAATGATTAAAGAGGAAAGTGCATGTAAACACCCCAGAAATATGCTTGAATGCAGCTGTAATCCACCAAAGCCTGGGCTACGGGAGGTCACAGCCAGCCCCGCTGAGCTGAGCTGGCAGGGGGAACACAGCTCCCAGATTGGTTGATGAAGGAAAGGGAAATTAAAATATCTGTTCTCCAAGGTACCCTGTGACAAACCACCCTGGGATCCACTGCAGGGGTGCACGGCCCTGGTGCTGGTTGGTCATGAACCAACATTGGCCGTGGCCACCCCAGGCACACACCTTGTCTACAGGGTGCCCTTCCAGTGGTACTGGGCAGGTGACCAGCCATGGGACCTCTTGGTTCACCTGGCTATGATGATGAGGACTCCAAAGGGTAGCCCCAAAGGGATCTGCTCCCATCATCATCACTGATCTCCTGCTCAGTGGGAACAGTGAAGCTGCCTGGTAGTCTTGGGTCCCAAATCCAGGTATTTCACATTTTTGAAGCAGCTCCTGGTCCTCCTGACTTCCCTGTGATGGGATGAGTGGCAGCCCTAGCCTCATCCAGCCTCAGAACCTCATCCTCACAGCTCCATGGGTACAGCTAAGAGGACAATTCAGTTTGGTCTTTGAAAGCTGCAATTCCTTACCCCAACCTCACAGAAAAAAGCAGCCAAACAAACTACTTTGGCTTTGCAGCACATCACCTTGAAGGCTTGGCAGTGGGAGACTTGTGTGGGCAGTGAGGCAATCTGCCACATCAGCTTGGGTTGAAAATTCAGGTGTCCCTCCTGGAGCCAGCAGAGATGACAACCCCCGTGGCTCAGTACCCACTGCAGAGGCAGCTTGGAGGCCTCTTACTTCAGGTTATTAAAGCCAGGAAATATCAATCCCCTCCTCCTCCTCTTCCCCCTCCATATTCAGCTACACATCTTGGATCTATAATCAGTGAATTTGTACTGAACAGGAGTGAGAGGCTCAGAGAGAGGAAATTCTCCAGGATATTTTAGTCTCCATCGCGAGGGAAAATGTACCTTCTGGGAAATGCACAGTGTGCAGCAACACTGAGAAAGTTACCTCTGAGTCTTGAATATCAAAAATAGCAGAGTTAAAATGGTCTCTGAGAGATTCATGGCAGAAGAGAGATTCCTCTTTTTCCCAAGACACTTTTCCTACTTCATTCCTGTGGTTCATGTTAGCTGCTTGCATACCCAAACACATTTTTTTGCACATTTTCTGACTCTACCAGGGACCTAGATGAGTTTGAAATTAGAGGAAAACTTCCTCAACAGATTTCAGAGGAAGCTGGGCTGCCACAACCATCAAGAGAAATAATTTCATTCTCCAAATGTAAAAATAAATGGTGTATTATTTTGACAGGAGGTTGCCTATGGCCAAGTCCTGCCACTGTTCTGGGTGTCCTTCAAGCTCAGCAGAACTTCTGCTGAGCTGACACAGCCGTGGGTGTTGGGAGTTTGGGGTCTCCTTTTCAATGTGGGCCACCAGGGCTGAAGGAGGAGTGGTCAGACAAAAAGGTTTAGCTCAGATCCTCTGTTCAAAGGACTAGATTTTTCTGATTGAGTTTTTTTTTTCCCAGGAGAAACTTGGAAAAAAAATGGAACCTCCTCGGTTCCATCTGTGCCCTTTTCACATTTCTTCTCCTATTAAAATTAACATGTCTCCCCCTAAAATTTGAGCACAGAAGCTAAAACACAGCTTGGCTAAACCCCACCTACATCGGTGAGCTTGGATGAGAAACCCCCATCTGCACAGATTTTCGGCAGACTGTGCCATCCCAGGAGGGATCCCTCCCCAAACAGCTTAGCATCCCAATGGTGGGAGGAAGCTGCTGCCTCCTCACTGCTCTCTCTGTCTGTGGCAGCAGGGCCACAACCAGGACACCAAATTTTTTCTTATACCACTCCAGAAAGTTATCAAATGACCCACATTTGCCTCTAAGACTGGGGCACCAAACCTTTGCATCCCGGACCATGGAGATACGTACACACCTTACCTATGGGATATAATACAATGCCAAAAGCTCCTGAAATAAAATAGGAGGATGAGCCACGATTTTTGTATGTCCTATGGTGGGCAGTAAGGCAGTTTTAGTGGCATAACACTCCCTTTCTGCAGTCCCTGTCCTGCTCATCCCTGTGGGTTCCAGCCACAAGGACCGATGTTTTCCTTGAGGATTTCTCTTAGGAAAAGAATAAGCTGTAGCTGCAAAGGACAGTGTCTCTCTCGTGACAATACCTCTACAATGAACAAAAACCAGTGAAAAAAAAATGAAGCAAAGAGAGGGGTCTCTTGCCTGGCCTGAAGGTTTTTAATCCGGGAGAGCATGTCCAGATGACCAGCTGAGTACTGCTCGATGACATCCATCACGTCGTAGGGCCGAAGGCTCTCCTTAAACTTGCGCTTGGAGACGAGAAACCTCATAATGCTGCGGGAGATGGAGAGGAGAATCAAAATATGGTCCCTGGGCTGCAGCCTGACCCGCTTAATGGCAGATAAAAAACACTGCAGGGAGCTGCTTTGGAAGGAAAATGGAATAAATCCCAACCCTGCAGGTTTGGGAGAGGATGCGGCAAGAGGAGAGGGGAAGGGGATTGCGGGGGCTGGTGGCTGAAGCCCTGTCTGCGACGGGGGGTCCCTGATGCCCCTTGGACTGTCATCTGTGCATGTGCTCTCTGCATCACTTTTATAAATGTCAGCGCTAAATCTCAAAGCTGGTGAGAACGATCATTTGGATGCATCCCTGCGGGAGATTTTCCTGTTTCTCCATTTATTCCTTCCCTAAGCAAAAATCACCCTTTCTGGCAAAATTTTCTGTAAAGCAGGGCAAGCCACCCAGGGGAAAAACAGCCTGCAGCACAGACATGTCAGCATTTGCCACCACTTCTTGGGCTTTACACTAATTTTTCCCTATTATTTACTTTCCTGGACTGCTTCCCCCCTCTCCCTCTCTTACCACACTGCCCTGATGCTGACTTTCAGCCCTGGTGTCAAATCTTCTGTCACAAACTCGCAGTTGCAGCTTTTGTTCTCATCAGGGATGTCTTCTCCAGGGAGGCTTGCTTCTGGGTTTGGGAGAGAGAGGAATAAAAACAACATGTTACCATTTCCCGCGCCGGTGCCGCACAAGGGAAGGCGAGTCAGATCACAATCAGCAACTCCTGGGCAGGCACCAGAGATGCCTTTGCTGACTATCCAAAGCAGAGCATTTCCTGAGACGTGTCCAGGTGACATTCAGCAGTGCCAACTGCAGCTGTCATCCATCTCTTGATCAGAGAATCACAGTATCATTTGGGTTGGAAAAGCACTCTAAGATCCCTGAGTCCAACCATTACCTCAGTATGGGCCAAGCCCAACCACTAAACCATGTCCCCAAAAGCCACATCTGCGTGTCTTTTAAATCCATCCAGGGTTGGCAACTCCACCACTGCCCTGGGGAGCCTGTGTCAGGGTTGGACCATCCTTTCAGTGAAGAAATTTTTCCTAATATCCAACCTAAGCCTCTCCTCTCACAACTTGAGGTCATTTCCCTTTGTCCTAAAGCCTGACTCTTCCTCCTTTCCCCATCCCTATATACCGAAATATATACATTGCCATGGGTGTCAGAAGGGCTTTTGTTGCCTCTTGTAAACATCACTGAATAGTCTGAGTTGGAAGGGACCTTTAAAAGGCCACCTAGTTCAACACACCTGCAATAGCAGGGGCATCTTCCACTAGATCAGGTTCCTCAGGCTACTCCAAGCTAAAGGACTGGGGGGGGAAGGAGACCCATGTAAGCACCTTGGATGGCACCTCCTTAGGTGGGGAGGGAGAGGATGTCGGGGCCAGTTGGGAATTTGGGGTCTCTCACAGTGCCCCAAACCCTCACCTTCCGAGTTCTGCCGCGACGCCGCTCCCTTGATGCGGAAAGCTTGCCGGGCTCGGCTGCGGTCTCCGAAGCTCCAGCTCTTGGGCACTTTGCTTGGGCTGTCCTCGATGCTCTGGTCAGCACTGGGGGACCTCCTCATGCCCTGAGCCTGTGGAGAGCCTTTCCCTTTGGTGCCAGCACCGCGGGGACTGGAGAAGACACGATCTTTCAAACTGACCTTCTGACTGTTCAGAGAAACACGTTGAAACAAAGACAAAAAGGAGACAGCAGGAGGAGTCATTCTGGAAACCACGCAGTCCTTCCCCACCAGCCATTAGAAACCAAGAGCACTTCCAAGCAGCAGTGACATGTAGTTTTGCTGTTGGCTTTTTTTTTTTTCTCCAATATATGTGGGTTTTTTATTTTTTTAAAAAAAGAAAGCTTTGTAGAGATGTTTCCGTCATCATGAGTGAAATGGGAATGATTCTTAAGAGAGAGAAAATAATGAGGACTTAAACAGAAGCCCCTTGTGGGATGCCAGGGCTGGCGGGACAGAATGACATCAACAATGAGGTTATGATTCCTTAAATCACTGATCAGCTCCGGTCACGAGTTAGGAAGCTTTTCTTTCACAACTGCCTTCCAAAACACTATGTCTAATAAAAAAATACCAATAAAAAAATCCCCCATTATCTTATAACTTTTAGCTTTCATGGAAACACTTCGCTTCTGGTGCTCAGACCTGTCCTTTCCCTTTCTTCAACTCCTGCGTTTCCTCCCTCTTAAAACACGATCTGCCCCTTTTATATATTCCAAAGGGTTCCTCTTTATCCAGTCATATATTCAAACACTTAAATACAAACACTTAAACGTGCAACTCCTTCATATCCTATAAAAATTCAATCTAAAAGCTGCCATCTCCCTGAAGGTCTGCTACGGGTGTCATAAACATGCAAAGCAAAATTTTACAACTTCAGAATAAGGCATTTTATTGCTTTTTTTCCTGCTAGAATCCTTGGATTTACGGTTTGAAAAGAAGCACTCTGCAGAAACAGAGATGAACTCACTGGGAAACAGTCTGCTGGCAACCCAGCTCTAACTAGTTTCTGAATTCTGAAATTTGCAATTAAAACCTTTCACTCAAATGAAGATAACAAATTTTCACTTGAAAATTGCAGAACAAAGAGATTTTGTGAATCATTACAAAAGGGCAAACTTTATAGAGACAGCATTGGGGAAACCAAACTGCAAGTACTTTTGAGTCATTTGATATTTTCTCAATAGCAATTAATGATTAAACTACACTGATAGAGGTTGGATAACCAGTGCAACGTACTTGCACACAGAGCCAATATTTTATATATAGGTATATCAAAACTGAGTGAAAACAGGAATTTAATTCCCAACACTCTGTACCATCGCAGTAGCCACTTATCATTTTGCTGCAAATGCTCTGCCTGAATTCGCAGGAAGAACATTTGAGGAAATTTTGATTTCCACATCAGATTTCTAGCTCACCAACCAAAGACCTGCTTTTTTTTTTTTTTGCGTGCGTCTTTCAGCAACACCACCTGAACACTCAGAGCCAAACAGCCCTCCTTTGCCTTCAAAACTGGCAGGGGGCTCTTCAATCAGAGCTTGGCTGCTGGTTTCTGAAGCAAAGCAAAACGCGGCTCCCTTTTCGCAGCCGCCGGCTGTTCTCTGCTGACAGGAGCAGACACACTCCCTGCCCAGTAAAGGGAGAAGACGTGACCCGAGGACACTCAGGGAGCAGATCTGTCGAGTAAGAAGGTGCTATTTTTACAAAGTCACTTTACATTGCGAGACAACAAACACTGACAGGGGGAGAAAGGTGCTTAGGCAGCAGTTTGCAGAGTTGCATCCCCTGTGCTGCAGGGCAGGGTTAGCTGTGGCCACGGGCTCAGCAGCAACTGCACATTGAAAGACACATTCGAGAGAAAATAAAATTGCTCATGAGCAAGTTAGAAAAGGCAGAATTAACCCAATTAATGATGAATTATTAATTCAGATAAGTGCTGGAGACTGAATTCCCAGTCTGGCGCCCACCTGCAGGGGCTGTCTGAAAGCCATGGGACCAACAGACCTTCAGCAGAGCTGAAATTCAGGTCAGAGGTAAAAATCCACACAGGAATCTGGGAACAAGCACGTGCCTAAATACCTTTCTGGATGTAAGCCTTAGCCACTAATGCTACCAAAATCATTGCACATAATGAGCCAAAGGTTTAAAAAAGCAATTCTCATTCTGTGTTTATTGGATAAGAAACCTGATTGAAATTTTGTCATTTGGTTCTAAATAGGCCAATTGGATTTTTTTCCTTTATTTTTTTGTTGATTTTACAGAAGAATATTTCTTGAATCCATTGGGTTTCAGCAGTACTAATACTTTGAATTACCTGGTCTTTTCTAAAAATAAATTTTATAAAAATGCATTAGCAACACAGAAATATTCAGAATTCAAAGCAGTCTCTTTGTGCCTCATCCTCTGCTGTGTTGCTCCCATCACCGATCCCAGCATAAAATGAGTTGCCTTTCACTGAGTAAAGCAGAGCCTTTTCCTTGGGGACCTTTTCCCATTCCCACAATAAATGTGCTGAAAATGTTTGCAGGAATCACAAAAGGCAAAAAAGAAAGAGTTCAAGTCGGTGAGGGATATGAGCAAAGAGTTTCAAGCCTGACAGCCTGAGGTGCAACACACTGAAAAATCTCACAGAAATCTGATGAACAACTAAGATCTGGGTGGGTTTTGTTCCCAAGTACTCACTACTCAGGAAAAAAACCCAACACCTGATACAACCTGTTTTTTTTTAACACAGATGACATGAGACAACACAAACAATTAATTGAAATTTTTTCTTCTGCCATGCAATTTTCTCCTTGGAAACGACACCTGGAATCACATGCAAGTACAATCCCTGCAGAGGAGAATGCTGTTGGGGTCAGCAGGAGCTGGTAGGAGAAAGTCCCAAAGAAATACAGACATATATAGGGATATATGTTGCCAGCTAATCCAAGATCATGTTCTCATTCAACCAGAAAGTCATGCAGAGGCACGTGGAGTGTCTTGGAGAAGGGGTGTTTGGATGTCACTCGAGAGGATGATAAATGAGCCTCAGTTCAGTGGAGAGTGTATGTGTTGGTGACATGAACATGAGGACAGCAGTCCCCCAGCCACACACACAGCATGGACTGATGCTCACAGTCGTGCCCTGCTCGTGCCAGGGGAAGGGAAGGGAGAGAGAACTGTGGCTTTGCAACCAGAGACAGATTATGGGAAGCCATAACATCCTAACAGGGCGTGCTTTAGCTCTACATCCTCGTAACCGCTTTCAGTTGGCATCTATGAAAACATATTTGATAACAAAAGAATTACATTTCCAGGCTGACTTTGGAGATGGTTTAAAAAACTTTCAGCTTCTGACTTGAATTTAATGAAGGATAGAAGCTGAGTTGGTTTTTCTGTGCTGCCAGCCAAAAAATAAGAGCCCAGTGCTGGACAGACATGAAAGGGCCACGGCTGATGGAGGGATTCTCACTGCTCTAGTGGGCTTTGCATTTTGGTTCATTTAAGTCCAACAGCTCAGCACTCAGCAGGGAAATTCTTGAGAGCTGACCTTCAAAATGAGCTGCCATCAGCCTCCTTAGGACACCAGGGGTTTGAGGTCCTGTTTGAAACACTCTGGTTTGGGGTTCATTCCAGTTCTCTACAGTATTAAATCAGCACTTTTAAAAAATGTGGACTCATTACATTAGCAGTAATTTTGGATCAATAAAAAGTATCAGTTGTAATGTCTTGTCATTGATTTTAAACTATGCTTGAGCCATTACTTCTTTTTCTCCTCAGTTAGCCAAACTGAGTTGGACTAGCACAGACTCAGATCCATCTCTGCATCCAAACTCAACCAGTACCAGTGCTCACTCTTCTGAGAAGCTGTGGCCAGGAGAAAGGGGTTGTCTCCTGTTGGTAAATTAGGTACATTTTTTAAATCCAGAGTCTGTGCTGAGCTCGTGGCATATGAGAACTGCTCATTAAAACTAAGCAGCCTTTGTGGCTGACTAGGCTCCAGTCTGATTGCAGGTGTGAATAAGAGGCAGAAACCAATTACTGGGGATATGAAGGAAAGGAAAATACAACTGCGTGTGCAAAACTTGCCATGACTAAATCAGAAATCATGAGAGGGCCAAGCTCAAGCCTGGTTTGCCTTCAGTGATTTCAGGTGAATTCAGCCTAGAGGATGGAGTTTCTAGAAGCAGAATAACCTGGGCATAAGGGAAAGAAAATGTCAGCCAGTGATCATGTCACAGTGAGTAATCCCTCTTCTTTTCCTCCTCCACAACCACAGTGGAATCACTGGAACTATAATGGCAAAGACTGGGGTTGCCCCATCCCCACAGCCACCACATAAGCATGGAAAAGCATGGGGCCTTGGATGAGTGAAGGGACACTGGAGCCAGCCTCAAGTCTGTAACCTTGGCTTTTTGTATTCTGCAGCATTCCATTACAATCACCCCTCTCTTCCTAATTCACAGCCTTTTTTTTCCCCAAACTGATGAGTGCTGTCAGACACCACATCAGCCACATCCTGCATGTCCTCCCAACCTTTTGCTATTCGCCAGCTCAGCTGTTTTGCATTTCAGGAGCAAAGCAGAACAGCCAGATTGCACCTCCAAGCTGGCTGATTGTTCCTGAGCAAGCTTTTCAGACACCTGCTACACCCAGAGCCACAGGCCAGTGAAAGGTTGTGCAAACACCTTTCCTTCACTGGCCTGGGTGCCACTTCTTCCCATTGTCAGGTCTCTGAGGTGCCTTCATCTGTGAGTGCACCAGGAAAAGCAGAACACAATAGACCTGATAACCTGGCTTGGTGTAGTTACATTACTGTCTAAAAATGAATGTGTTATTGCACTTATTGACTAAAGATCATTGGTTTAGTACATTAAGAAACCACAGCTTCTAAGGAGTTTCCTATTAATTTACCTACATTGAGTTTTTCATGATTGCTTCATCGTTTACAGTTATTTCGTTTTATGCATCCTAGATGAAGGCTTTTAGCACTCAGCCTTAGATGCATCAAAGTGCTGGCATCTGCCACAAGAGCCTGTGCAGTGGGGATTGTGGGCAGGCACCCAAGGGTCCAGGAAAACAAGACATCTGAATTATTTTTATGCCCCTTCACAGTTCACCTACAGTTATACTAAAGCACAGGGTGTATAACACTACATTCAG